GTGATCAGGGAGTGTCGCAATACAGTGGAAGGACTATCAAAAGGGTGCCAGCAACAAAACAAAAGTCAGCTCTTTACACCATAAGCTACTGAGCAGAGGATGAGGATAATGCTGAGGATTTCAGTTATCTGGCAGAATCACTGGTTCTTGACTTTGTAGGAATCTTGTTTTTCTTTCTGAATAATAGCTTATCAGAATTTCAGAGTACTTCTTTCATTTTTAGTATACAAATGAACTTTATTTTTTAAACATTAGTGTTTTTGTAAATTGTTACTGAAAAAATGATTGCTCTGAATTGTCAACTTATTTTGAAAACTAATACTAACAATGTTTATAATTAAGTTTAGTTTTCATAGTGTAAAAAATATTACATTTTAATTAATTACTTAACTAATTTTTCAGGGTAATTGACATCAGCTAGATAATCCTAGAATCAGTAGTTAATGTGCTTCAAAAATGTTGGTCCAAACTAATTTATCACACAAGTACTAACGCTTTTTAAAATATATATTTTTTCCTCAGATGTGCTAATTGTATCTAAAGATTAATTATAATTGATACTTTAGAAAATTGTTTTAACACTAAAGAGACTAAAGTGGTCCTAGAAATTTTTCGTCACCTATTTTTTTTCCAGCATACATTCAATGAATGGTTAGATTTACTAGTAATTATACTTTAAACCAATATTTTAATGTTTATTCCTGGATAATTAATACTATACTACTTTTCTTCTTAAGAGGGGTCGTAATGAGACGAGGCTGATTTCTTGTACTGTAGATTTGTTTCTTCACACTAATTATGATTATGTAACTGTTTTACATTACTATGTTGATTGTAGATTATACAAAGGCTAAATTTAGGTTGTCGCTATGTAATTTATTTCTTTGCTCTGATAAACATATTTTTAAATTATTGCAAAAAATCTTTTTTTTTTACTTTGCCATTCTCCTAAATGTTTCTATTTTATTAGACAAAATTAAAATTCATGTGGTAATCTGATTACTGTATTTTAATACTGTGTTTCTCACATTCTAATAATTCACATTGCATAGTTTAGTAGTAATAAACACTGGTACACACTTTGACAGCTGTTTTCTTTTATTTTGTTCTATAATTTTATTATGGCCTCCTGATATAGACACTGAATATCAAGTGGGGGGGGGGGGGGGGAGAGAGGGGGCTGAGAAAGTAACGTAAAGGCAACCAGTTGCTACTTCCATTTATCATGTAGTGTGTGTGTGTTTGTAGGTCTACTCTACTTCATCTACCCAAGTAATATCGTTCATTACAATTAGAAAGAACTTGTGCAGTAATATGTGCTTATGCATTTTTATTATATAATAATAGTAGTAACAGTAGTAAATATTAATAAATCGATTTACAATAACTAGATCTAGTTTATTTTAAACCTAGATCTACATTATTTTTTTTACACGGAGTAATAAGTCAATAATAATATATGAATGGCATTAAATTACTCATTCAAATCACATCCAGTCCAGTATAACTTAGACTTTAAGCTTGATTATAATTTTTTAGTTTTTAAAAAAAATGCGAATCCCGGATGATGTAATAAAATTATAATTTTTTAATTTTTCGAAAAATGCGAATCCGTGATGATGCAATGAAAAAACCATCGGTGCCAACTTTTTTGTTTATGTAACATTGACTTGAATGACGAAGGTCTAAGCTGTTTTAGCCACGCCCACAAATTTTTAAAAGGCCATATCTTTGCTCCTAATTAAGCTAGAGACACAAAATTGGTATCAATGTGTAGGGAAAAAAATCCTGTTTTATTGTGGTATAATTTTACTTGAAATTAGTGGAGTTTAAAAAATACGAGCAACAGCCTAATGAAAGGCTGTTTAATTTGAAAACCAACATAAGTAATCAAATTAATTGTCGTAAAATGTCAAAAAGGCAGTGCTAGTTTGTTTTTTTTTTTTTTTTTTTTTTTTTTTTAAATTACGGTATATCTGTCAATGAATTTAGCCTAACAGTCGACGGTACCGGTAAATGACGTCACGCGCGAGCTTGAACTTGGTGACGATGTGCTAAATGGAGGGATGAAACGGTGGGGGTTAAGAAAAGCGACGCATCATGCTTTTAACATGTCTTGGCCTTTCTTAATAGTTCTATCGACCCCACTGAAAAAATCTTATTGTGAATCATATGAGTCGAGTGTGTGTCTTGACCTCCGCCGAATCCCTGAGCCTGACCCACCGAACCCAAGTTAAGAACCACTGTATCAGTGGTAGGGAGGGGTAGATATTTATCAAATTAAACGTTTTTAGATCTATTTGTCAGTCAAAAAGTGGAAAGTCTCAAAACGGTAGTGCTTAATTTGAACTTGGTGATAGCAGGCTTGCAAAATTTACAATCATTCGTTATAAAGCAAAGGTATGCATGAACACTCACGCTATATGTTCGTCATTTTCATTGAGCATAGCATTAAAGAAGTCTTTCATCATTGACGTCAAGCATCTCACCCCTCCCCCCACCCATCATCTCTTCATTATACGTCATAAATTTCGGGCCTGCGTAAGGTAACGTCACACTGTGATTCACAGTACCGTAATATATGTGACATCGTCTATGTACAACCCCATATCACTCGTTTGGGTATTTGGTATCTACATTTTGACAACAAAGGATATTAAAGATGTGTATGAAAAGTTAAGACTTCAGATCGATGGTAAATGACACCACGCTATTATGGGGTGAAGTAACCGGTTTTTTTTTCAAGATGTATTACGTGGGAAAGGGGAGGGGTACGATACTTTTGTCTAAAACAAAAGTGCTGAGAAACATTTATTTTCGTTAGAATTGTGCCGTGACTTCTTAAAACTTTTAGCAGGGCAAAATGGTAATTTTCAACGTTAGAACTATTTGACAACAAAAATAAGACAAAAGTGGAGTTGGGTTAAGGGTAAGAGTGGTAAAAAAAAAACTTGATGTCATTTACAATTATATCACTAATTAAAGAAAAGAAACAAACACAAAATGAAAATAGCAAACAAACATTAACAATAAACTGAGAAACTCAAGTAATTTGTAAATAACCATTGATGTAGATTGTAGATCTAGTACTAGTATTTCATTAAACAGGACTTTCTTAATGGATAAAAAAAATTAATTAAAAGTATGGCCCTAGCATCTCATAATAATAGTTATAGATCTAGAATAGATGCTTACTGAGTGTCAGTCAATTACATTTTTAAAAGGGCAGAATCTTAAAAATAATATTAATAAACTATGCCTAATGCCTAACTAAGTAACTATACTTATCTATACTATACTAATCTCTAATACTAATCATCAGGGGTGTAGCGAGGGGGGGCGGGGGGTGAGGACCGCACCAGGTGACACCATTTAGGGGGGTGACACCAAGGCAAAAAATAGCAAAATATATAGAGAAAAACTAGAGAGAGGGGGGGGGGGGGGGGTGCAAATCGAAAATTTGAAAGTTTGTCCCTGGGAAGGGTCTCTATGCCTCTGGGGGGGGGGGGGTGACACCATTAAGTGCCGCACCGGGTGACACCAGACCTCGCTACGCCACTGCTAATCATAAAACTATTTAAAACTAATAATTTTATAGTAATAAACTATGCCGCACTATATATAATATATAAATTATATATAATACTGGATTCTATAGGCCTATAGTATAATAGACTATACTATAGATCTAATTACTATAGACTCTAGGTGCCCTATAGATAGAGTATAGATTATAGATCTAGATCTACCTATTTATTTATTATCTCTACAATCTAGAAAATCTAGATTCTAAATAATAGTAAATAACTCCATTTTAGCGTATTTTATTCCCCCGCTTCACGTTCACCTCCAGTTGAGCGTATTTTATTATAAACACAACCGAAACACACAAAAACGTTAGGAAAACACTAGATCTACTTATTTTTTATGAATGTGATTTTTAATTAGAAAATGTAGGCCTAATTTAAAAAAAACAGCGGAAGAAAAATCCTTACATGGTCGAGGGTTCACCGTGAGTTCACATTGACTTTAATTATCAGCATACGTCATAGCTCAGGCAATAGCTGTTTGAAATTGTGTTGGCCTCTGTTTTGGGGTCATTGAGATAAATGTTTATTTATAGTATCATGCCTGGGAGATACTTGTAACTTGTAACAATACAAACTTAACCGCCTTGCAATTGTGAGTACGTACTTCACCCATTGTCATGAAAATTCTAACTGACACATGAACATAGATCCAGCACATTAAATATTCTAAATTTGGATTTTTCTCAAGTTTTGACAAAAGTAAATTATCAAAATCTAAAATAATAGTTATAGATCTAGAATAGATGCTTACTGAGTGTCAGTCAATTACATTTTTAAAAGGGCAGAATCTTAAAAATAATATTAATAAACTATGCCTAACTAAGTAACTATACTTAGTCTATACTATACTAATCTCTAATACTAATCATAAAACTATTTAAAACTAATAATTTTATAGTAATAAACTATGCCGCACTATACTATATATATATAATATATAAATTATATATAATACTGGATTCTATAGGCCTATAGTATAATAGACTATACTATAGATCTAACTACTATAGACTCTAGGCGCCCTATAGATAGAGTATAGATTATAGATCTAGATCTACCTATTTATTTATTATCTCTACAATCAAAATCAAAATTATCAAAATCTAAAACAAAGTCAGTCTCTGTCTTTTTATTCATTTGTTAAAACAAAAATATAATACAAATAAATAAATCGTATTTTCCTAATGTTTTGGTGTGTTTCGGTTATTAGGCTATAATTATTAATTAAATACACTCAACTGGAGGTAAACAAGCAACGGAGAATAAAATACGCTAAAATGGAGTTTTACCGGCCCACTGGCACTTTCTAGACAACTAGAATCTAGATCTAGATTTCTAGATCTAGATTTACTTACATAATAATAAATATAGGCCTAGATCTAGAAATAGTTTAATAGTTTAATTACTTACCGTTATGTTTCACTTCAAGAGCTAGGATTTCAGAAGCGGTACCGGTCACTCTTGCTGCTATGGACACTTTCAATGTTTGGAAATTGCCTTCATCTGAATAAAGCTTCATTTTCGACTGGCTGCACGGGTACCGGTTTTATTTGTTTAAAGTTTAAGCTTATTGATAAAATTTAAAAACACACTTATTGTATTTTAAAATCTGCTCTTATGGTTCTAGACTGTAGACAGAGCTACTACTGTACAAGATCAGTAGGATTTCAACTTATAGGCCTATTGTTGACAGATTTCATCAGGGCGTGCAGTACCGGAAATAACCCCAAAGGTTATTTCGGTAGATGAATTCGCCATTTAACTTATAATTATTATAATATGACTTCTCGGACAAAGCAAAAATAAGGAAATAAATGGTAAAAGACAGTATAACTTGCTTTTTGACATCTCTACCTCATGTGACAATGATAAATATCCCTACCATATTTAATTAATATATTTAAATAAATAGTATAGAAAATACCCAAGTGATTAGCCTACTGAAAACATTGCTGCTAAGCTTACAAATTTTAAAAAATACACGGTGATAGTCATTCAATGTAAATTTCATACATTGGTCAGTTTTTAAACTTTGTAATAACTCTGAATGAATAATGTGGCCTTTTTTCCAATTCCACCATGCTATCAACACAGAAAATATGGTGTTGATCTATTCCTTATTTGAAATGCTTCTATTGTTTTTTGGCTGACTTAACCTGAATGAAGCATTCAATGCATATATATGTTTAGGCCTACACAATACACCAAGGGAATTGTCTGAAAAAATAACACCATATTCTGACATCCATTCAGCATAAAGGATATATTGACTAGGCCCACATATAAAGTTGATTGTTACTTCTAATGTGCTCTCATAAAACCTTAGCATTCAATTTCAAATCATAAATCAAAACTAACAAGTCCAACATTAAATATTTTAAATCTTGACATTTTTATTACAATAATATCACATTTGCATATAGAAAGAATTATATTTAAAAAACATAACAGTAAGTTTACATATTTTAGAATATTGATCAATAAAAAAGACCTTAAATCACGGCTTGGAAATTTTTTTTTAAATCTATGGATAAATTTGTCATGTTCCAAGTTAATAAAAAAATTGTAGATGGATTTAGAATATTTATTTTACATTTGAATACATGGAATGTGAACTGTAATTCTTTACAAGAAATCAAAACAAATTAATATCTGAATGGTTTGTTCTTTAGTCATTTTTATTTATTACTGAGCCTATATATCTAAGCATTGCATTAAATGTTCTGGTTCCTTGTGTTCTTTCATGCAAAAATACTGTGAGGTGATAGCTAGGAAGTTTAAAAACTATTTAATACATTATTTCGCTGCCAAAAGAGATCAGAAGATTTCTTATGTAAGTTTAGGCCAGAAAACTGTTAAAATGCTTATGTAAAAACAGTGGTGTCGCTAGGTTGGGTGTCACCTGGTGTGGCACCTAAATGTCACCCCCCCCCCCTTTTTTTTTCTCTCTACAGTTTACAGTTGGTGTCATCCCCCCCCCCCCCCCCATAAAAGCTTAAAAGTGTTAACATTTAATACTAATGATGTTTATTTACAGTCAGTTGTTAATACAACTGGGTGTACCATTGTTAGCATATTTACGTCATGATGTGTCATCGTCGTCACCCCCCCCTGCCCCCCATGTTGTCCCAATCGTCATTATGTATGATGTCAAATATTTTTTAAACTCTAGTTAACTATTCATTGAACTGGCAAAAAACATTTATTCTAAATGTCATGCAATTTTTTTTTACTTTGTGTAACCCCCACCCCTAAATGGTAACACCCAGTGCCGTCTGCATTCCCCGCCCCCACCTCGCGACGCCTCTGTGTAAAAAAAGCATGTTTGTCTATTCTTCATAAAAATATTCAATATTTAAAAAAAATTGCAATTATTAATTAAGCATTATTAAAATAAGGAAGTAGATCTAGATCTAAAGAATTAGTGATTATATTTTTTTCTGGCAGAATGTAGATGTAGCCACATACCTAAGAAAAATATTTTGTTTTGCAACAAAAATCTTATTAAGGCACAAAAGCAAGTAACTGAAGAATATCTCAAAAATACAACTGACATGAGCCAGTAGTGTAAATGTCATCAGATGTAGAACTCCTTTGTGAATGAACTAAAGGTCATAGATCAGTGTTCCCAAACACATTTGGTGGGATTGGACTTGGGGACAGGGAGACATCGCCCCAGTTTTTCACATCCAGGAGGGGCCCAGTTCTGAAAATCACAAATCAAACACGGGATGAAAAAAAAATTCCGATCTTATTATTTATTATTTTTTGATAACTTATTTTATCAGCACAACTCAGCATATTCAATAATTATAATTTAACATTAACAATTTGAAACAGCAACAAAACAAAGTTAGTTAATAATTAAATAATAATTTTTGTGATAATTATTCATAATTTTAAAATTCATTCACATTTTTTATAAGCTAACCTGTATCAAATTGAATATTATAACTCATTTTATTGAAATACACAATCAACAGAATACTAAAACAAGTTAATTAAAAAGTCTAGTGACATTTAAGCGCAATTTCCTTATGTTATCTAAAAATAGCTCTGTCGTAGCGTAAATCAAGAGCAGGGTTAGTAAAACCATTGGTTTAAATACATGTTTTATTTACAATAGAGTTACATGACTAAAAACCATTGCGCGCCTAGCTACTGAACGTGATGACGCAGCCATTGAATGTGATGGCGCAGCTATTGAACGTGATGACGCGTGTGGTGTGGTTGGATAAAAATGCCTACTAATTCGGTCCAAATTTTAATTAATTCAAAAAAAATTTTGTGACCGAACGAAAGGATATTTTTGAAAACTTTCTTCGGCAATATTGTTCTAAATTATGGCAGGAATCGATTGGTACATGTTTCAAGTTGCTAAGTGGTCTGGTTGCCGAGATATGTGCCAAAAACTGCATTTTTTCGAGGTTTTTTGGCTTTTCCGGGAAATCCATGTAAGAAACCCGGATTTTTTATGGCCTATGTTCATCCTTGTAACTTGCTTAACATAATTGCTTTTGGAACTAGTCATCGATATTGCTTCGTTGAGGAGGAGATACGACTTAAAGCTGCGGACAGACATCCATCCATCCATTCATCCATTCCCAGAAAAGACAAGTTAATAAACGCAATTCTCCAGAATGGAAATTGCGCTAAAAATGGATTCTCTTTTGGACAAAAATCATAACATGCAACATATACAAAATTTAATAAAACTACACTTAAGATGTTTCAAGTTACCTGAAAAGTATTTCTACACAACCACCCAGAATAGTTACACTAAAACCAAAAACTTACCATTACTGCATTATCACACATGTTTAGCTGTGGAACACCAGGGGTCAAATGGGCTAAGTGATCATCTACAGCCTTCATAAGAAGTGGGATTTGAGTTTTGTAAACCTGGGACCCTGGTCTTAACGTAAAAAAAAAATAATAATTGAATTCCTTAAAAAAAACTGTGTTTATTAGCACTACTCAAAGAAACAGTAGGATTATGAAATAAATCAGTTGGCTTAGCTTAACTTGAACATTTTTTAATGTTAAGAAGCATTATGGCTAAGCAAAAGGAGATCAATAGATAAACACAATCTGACTAAATGATGGATTATGCTAAACACAAATTGACTTAATGATGAATGATATTAAACACAAACTGAGCTAATGAAGATGTTTAAGACAAACTGACCTAATGGTGTGAGGTAAGTTAAGTTTCCCTTTCAAACTTGACGGTCTATGGGGCAAGTGAAGTAGAGTTCACTTGTTTCTGTGACCTCGGCTTATGAAGATAGAGTGTGGTCAGCACTATGCCCAGCCGCTTTTACTCTCCCTAACGTGAGTTAGGTACCCATCAGAGTTGGGTGGACTCAGGAACGGTCTACTGACTTGAACCCGGATTCGAACTCGAGACTTACGGGTTAGTAGTCCAGCTCTCTACCGCTAGACTACTCCATCGCATAATGGTGTGAGTTTGTGTTTAATGGTGTGAAGTATTTAACACAAACTAACCGAATAATGTATTTCTCTCCTGGGTCAGCTCCAAGGTCAAACAACAATGGCTGCGCTGTGTGATTGACCTGGTCATGGGTGGTCAAGCCATTGATTTCCTGACCAGGACAGAAGTCTACACCTGTTCCCTTAAAACATGCGGGAAAAACGGAATGTTTCATTTGATACTTAAAATACTTCCTTAAACAGGCAATCACAGGCTAAGCATCTTATTTCTTGGCAGTAATCTAATTAACTGCACTTGTAAAAAAAAAAGAATACTGTTTTAAGTACCAGATGAATAAAACTAGGCAGATTTGGCTTCAATTGTTATAAAATGGTAGATGGTATTGTAAATTTAAAGTAAATAAAAATTTAGAAGTAAAAACAGCTATGTTTTAAACTAACATTTTAATTAGCATTAAGATAACGATTAAAGTACATTTTTTAATTTTTTTATATAATTAAAGACAATACTTTTGTTGTCATCATCCCAATGGGTTTAAGTGTTATCTATCACACTTAGTGCTCACATTTTTAAACTCCTGCCAACTGTTAGACCATGTCCACAGATGTGCTTTGTATTGGCCAAGTCGGACGGCCATCAAGTGGTCACCTCGGTAATAAAATATTGGTCTGGAAGAAAAATTTTATAGTGAATTTATTAATTTTTAATAATAATTTAACAAAAGGTCAGACTGGAAGTGTTAGTAAAATGTTGGTCTTGAAAAACATTTTGTTACTACTGCTTATCAACATAAAACAAAAGTTTGCAATACAAAATTGCTGAGCTTAAAAATATGCTTTAGTGGTGGTTAATATTTCATATTTTAACATTTCTTTTCTAAAGTATCAAAATTCATTAAAGGTGGGATAAGAAAAAAAACTTGTTCACAAACAAAAAAATTCAAAATAGTACAATTAATTATTTTATTATGTGCTAATATGATTATTTCAATGAATGCGGATAATTATACATACACATACATAGCTATCACATTAAGTTGTACTCAAAAAAAATATTCTATCAGTGCTGTGTGGAGATAACATAAGTGTTTCCTAGATGATAAGACTAAACATAAAGAACTGGCAATTCAAACTAAACTGACCTTTGTGTAGTTTTGCCGTTCAACAAAGTTGATGTCAGGCTTATGCCATCGATGGGTCGGTCACTAGGTGCAGGGATGCCAGCCAGGTCTAAAAAGGTGCTGAAAAAGTCCATCAAGCTACCTACCTGGTGAGACACCTGTAAAATAAAGAATGATGTGAATTGGCCCATAACATAGGCTGTTTGCATAAAGTAGAATAGTTGGATCTTTGTATCCTTGAGTAAATAGAACAAAATATAAATGTATAATAACTAAAATAAAATAAAAAACTAGCTTTTATTTTTAAATGTACACAAAATATAAAAGTATACCAAGAGTGATTTTTCTATAGTATAATCATAATGAAAAGTAGTGAAATAATGCATGCTCAAAAAAATTAAATATATGTATTCATATATTATTTTAAGATAAGTATGTTTAGTTTGATAGTATTAATTCTTAAATAAGTAAAAACTCTAATATTAATAACTCATGCTTTTAACTGAAGGTGAAAAATACAATTGTGAAAGAATTGTAAAACAAGAAAGGAAAAGGGAAATTAATTTTCAAGTGGGATAGCTTATTTACTTATGTGAAGGAAGGGGTATAAGTCTTGAGAGATTTTATATCCTGTAGATGTCAATTCAAAACATGATGTAGAAGCAATGCTACTGCATTTAGTTTACACTGTGGAAATTACCTGGCCAGATTTGATTTTGTTTGGCCACCAGGCAATAGCTGGCTCCCTTGAACCTCCCTCAAATGTGGTTTGTTTACCACACAGAAATGACCCATTGCTTCCACCTATAACAATGGGGGAAAAGGGGAAGGTGTTGGGTTTGGTAAGTTTCTATTTCCTTTTTTTTATACTTGTTAAAAAAAATAGCTATAATCTATTGATCTGTGTTGCTCTCTTTCTGGTTTACGTATTTTAAAAAAATGTTAGATAATAAAGATGGTAAATTTACATTTTTGAACATTACCTATTTTTAGAAATTGGCTGTACAACAACAGTGTGATATAAATATAGAAACAAACCAAAGCCATAACTCAAAATTTAAACCTAACCAATCTATTGCTTTGACGTGGGAATACCGGGCCAACAAGATTGTAAATGTATGTGTTAGGAAAAAGGTAACATTGGGAGCAGATCAGGAGTTGGGAGTGAAGCATGCTATTCCAATCTGGCAATAGGGATCACACCAGCTTTTACCTGTCCCCCAAAAATTTTGCCTGGCCACCAGGCTATTGCAGGCTCTCTCATGCCCCCTTCAAATGTTGTCTCTTTGCCACAGAGAAAGGGACCATTGCTCCCACCTAGTGTGTACAGGAATTAGTTTTTGCGTTTACATAATTATTGTTACTAATTGGCATTTAAATTTCCAGAGTAATCATTAATTGTGTGTATTTCAATTAGAGAACTTAGTTTTTAAAAAAATCTATAATTGAAAACTAAATATTGATTTTAAAAAATTAAGAAATTCGGGCAGAATAAACGAAAATTTAAACAAACCGCTAGTTTTAGCATATGTGGCTGCCCCATTGTCTGAGGTGAAGAACACCAAAGTATTATTGGCAACTCCTGTGTCAACAAGTGACTGTAAAATCTGACCAACTCCAAAGTCTAATTCTCTTACTGCATCTCCATATCTAGAGAGCATCAATTTAACGGTTACATCATAAAAATAAATTACATTATTGAGTTCTATGTGACCAAAAATTAAATACTGATTTCACTTAGTCAACAAATCCAGTAAGATAAAACATGGCCTACTGAAACACATATTTAAATCTGAAATTTTAAAAAAGAAAATCAGTTTCTATAGAAAACAAAAACAGCTAATCTTTAAATTAAAACAACAAATGAAAGAACAGTTACACAGGATAGTAATTATACTCAAATGCTTAATAGATTTGCTCTTTTTATCAATTGTATGATGTAATTATTCCACAACATTTTAAGGTTGAAGTTTGTTGAATAACAATTTAATTATTAACGCTGAAACTAATTCCCAGGATTCATCTACTGACAATAATAATAATATTACCTTTGAAACTGTCAACAACTACCACCACTGAAAATAGAAACTTACAAGCCCCTCCTCGAGGTTCCACGGAATGCTGACGATGCATAGAGTGGCTCATGAGTTGCATCCACCGCCCAGTACAAGAAAAAAGGATTCCCAGTTTTGGATTCTTTCTCTATAAAATCTTTGGCTTCCTGAGAGTGAACAGTAAATCTATTAGTTTTAAAAAGCTAACTAGTAAAAATCAAGAAATATATTTAAAAAAATAAATGACTATAATATACTTAATAGTTTAGAAACATAAAATTCTGTTAATTATAACAGAAATATACATTGAGACCGGTAAGAATTAGACCATTTACGATTAATAATACATGTTTTTGTGATAAAAGAGTGAGAAGTGCTTCAGAAGAAATATGTTACCATATAAGGAGCATTTAAAAGTGTATTTTTGCTGGGTATAGTGCTTAATATTGCCAGACAACCCACACAATTTAAATGGTTACCTTAATATACATCTGGGTCAAGTTAGATTCACCCGTCTGTGTATTAATTATAAAATCTTCAAAATACCTGGAGATATAAGAATTTTACAATTAAGAACCAGACAAAAGTACTTTTTTTATGTTAAGGATAATCAGGTATTGCCCTAATAATTAAGTTAACTAAAAGATCGCAGGCCTTCACAAGAATGGACTGCATTGCTCTGAACATTACTATTATTTAGTAGATAATTAAATCAAGAATATGAAATTATAGTGCTTTTAATAAAATAAACTGGTTCTGTGCATTATGTTATAAAGCAACTACCTGCCAACCATAAAGGCATCTTTATAAACTGGAATATTTGGAATTGCCTTGTCATTGTAAGGTCCAAAATGACAGTTTGGGGAGCCAAACCACTCATCAAAGCCATGTTTCAGTGGATGATAGTGAGGCTGGTGACCTAAATGCCTGGTGGAAAATACTTCAACAATCAGATACTGGTTGGTTAGTTCACTTAGATATCTGTAAAACTGGTATACATCTATGATATTTTAACTATCAACATTACAATCTGTTCACAACTCTTATAAAGATATAAATGGTCCAAGCAATTGTTTTATGGCAAGATGTAGAATTGAGAATTTTTTACACCCACGTTGCCCGTTGTTAGGATTATTTTATTCTGCCAGGTTTTTTTTTCCACCCCCAGTAAGTAAACAGCACTACATCATCAGGAGGTGAGGGGATGACATTAACCTAGCTTTAACCATAACAATAACTCTAATTCCGTTTGTAACAAAACATTTAGCTGTGGACCTGTAGCACTGTGTTACTGGAATTTATTTCAATAGTATTTTAACCTGATTACAAAGTATTGAAAAATAGAATAGCATACCATTTTCCAATTATTTTGTTGTGATAGCCTTTCTGATGCAGTAGCTCAGGCAAAAGTATCTCATAATCTGGTATTCCTCCCACAATATCTTGGGGTGTGTATGCTAAAATGTTAACAATTAACTTCTTGATTATTCAAACAAAAGTAAAAGAGTAACGTTAAAATATCACATAAAATATGAAACCAAACCCTTAACCAGTGGCGTAGCGAGGTCGAGTGTCACACGGTGCGGCACTTAATGGTGTCACCCCCCAGAGGCGTAGCGACCCTTCCCAGGGACAAACTTTCAAATTTTTTATTTGCACCCCCCTCAAACATTCGATTTGCACCCCCCTCAAGTTTTTCTCTATAAATTTTGCTATTTTTTGCCTTGGTGACACCCCTTTAAATGGTGTCACCCGGTGTGGTCCGCCCCCCCTCGCTATGCCTCTGCCCTTAACTGCATGGAAATTATTACTACTCTATATTTTAAAGTAATGCAGTAGCTTGGGTCAGCACTGGTCTTACCATTACGAGCTGGGAGGTTGTTTGTGTAAAATCCATTTCTGATTGGCAGGCGACCACTCAAAAGGGCTGCTCTGGCTGAGAACCAAAAACAGTTTGTCAAAAAATTGTTCTGAATTCTGTTTTAAATCTCTACATTGTATTAACACTTGTTTCTAAAAACAGTGGAAATGCATTATCATTACAATTAGCAAAGAATTAAATTTTTAATCATAAGCAACTGAACCGAGATCTATTATTAAAGATGACTTAAGCATTAAAAAACAATCATCGTATTAAATTTTTATTCAATTTTGCATAAAACATTAAAAGTTACAACAGAGTTAATATTATTATTAATGTTCGTTTAATGTAGTCACATAGCTACATGTTTTCACGTTTCTTAATATTTAAAACAGTAGCCTCCTTTCTACAGAGAGGGTGCCGAAATCTTGTAATAAGTAATGTTAGCCATACAAATATAACATAAGTTTCACTAATCAACAAATTTATTTTAAAACTTTGTGTCCCAGTAAGTGGTAAAGTATGCTACTGGTTTGACCCTGCCAACCTGTAGATTAGATAAAGCAGAGTTCATCTGTTACGCAGACACTGGTAGGCCTAATAGAAGAAATATGCAGTCTGCACTATGCCAAGCTGCATTTATTTTACGCACGACAGGTGCTCATTCTACAAACTTTAGCCAGAATACCAAACACAAGGACAAATGTTCTCTACAACTTAACCATCTTGTTGCATAGTTAGGCTACTGGAACACTAAATTAAAAAGAGAATTAAAACTTTTACATGGTGAACACAGGGGATTTGCAGAATAAAAATCTGGGAAAAGCATTCCTTCAGCAGCCATTCTGTCCAGGTTTGGTGTTTCTTTGTTTGGTTCTCCAAAAACACCAAGATCTCCCCAGCCCATCTGAATCAACAATTAACAACATGCAATTCAGAAGTGGCAAAACACTTCAGTGTTATAGTAGTTTGCGAGCAGATAAAATATAAAACATTAGAATACGTGATATACCTAACTACACTTGTTCACCTTTGCAGTGTTTCTTTCAGACTTTTTTCTTCGGGGGGGGGGGGGGGGGGGGGGAGACACTGGAAAAAGTATATATTTCCTTTATAAATTCAGTTTTGTTCTGGCACAGCCCCCCCCCCCCCTTAAGAGATACCTGGAAGAAACTCTGCACCTGTGCATAATAAATGCCTAAAATTAGTTTTAATATGATAGGTTTTCTTTCTTCACACAAAAGTCTATGAAGTTAAAATCTAGGTTCAAGTCCGTAGAAGGTCTCTGAATCCACCTAGCTCTGATTTGTGCCAGATTCTTGTTAATCAAGACGGCTGGATATGCATGAATGCACTATCTTTTCATATGCTGAGGTCAAAGAAGCAGGTTAACTCTACTTCACTTACAATTTACACCATGGACAGCAAGATTCGAGTGGATAATTTACTTTTATATTGAGTTTACTCTTCAAATAATCTTTGTTTATGGTACTTAGCTAAATTTTTAAGTAAGGCCTATAAATTTAAAACTATTTAAAACTCAATTTAAATTATTTAGGTAAAAATGTAATTCAAAGTTTAAAGGTACAAAAACTAATTGAAAGTCACTTAATTTCGGTTTCACTGACTGTTAAAGTTAGTGTTATGATGTTATGTGTTAAAGTAAGTTATTAGGCCAAAGTAACTTACTAATAATACAAAATTAAATAACGTATACTATATTATTAATATAAGACATAAAGATGATAAGAAGTATGAAGTATACCTTTTATTTAACCAATGTATTATTATTACTTATTTTATTAAATATTATTATTAAAGTATTAAAGTTAAATATTAGGCGTAGGTCTACTTTTAATATTTTAATATAAATATAATTTAAATTAAATAAATAGCACCAAATAAATCATTAAATGTCAAATGAACAGGAGCACATACTTACATCGTCCATTAACAAAATAACAAAGTTTGGGCTGGCATTTTCTATCTTTTGGCCTTTGCCGGTGTACTCATCATAGGCATGAAAATTATTTACCAAGGGAGGTGATGCCATCGTATGATGAACGACTCCAAAACTTACACATGACGCCAGAAACATGGCAACTTAAATTGAGTTTAATAGATTACTTTTAGTCTTTAAGAATAGCATTTTCTCAGGAATGTTACACAGTTCGGAAGATTGTTATAATATTTATTCTTAGGCTTAATATTGAAAGCTAAACGTGTCGTGTCTAAGTCTTTGTAATTGAGGAAGAATGGTCGTTTTGATTAGTGATGTTTGCCAGAGTGCAACCGAGACTAAATAAAATCATGTGATCTAAGTAATCGGCGTCACGTGATTTAAGTAAAAATAGCAATATAAACAGAAAACGTCTCTAAAATTATTAGGCATATTAATAAAATATTATTGTCATCAATGTCATCTAATTAATTTGTAGGATTTGGAAAGCAATATATTATTAATGTAACACTAAGCATTGTCTAAACCACAATGATAAGCTGATATAAAGTAGTAAATAATAATGGTTGTCTACAACATATTATCGAAAAATTGGAATGGAAAAAGCAATAAAGGTAGGCTAAAGTAAAATATAAAAAAAATATTAAAAGTACTTTAACAGAATAATAAGTAGGCTACATATGCTAACAAAAGTATATAAATTAAAAATAAAAATGGAGATGCCGGGGATCGAACCCGGGGCCTTTCACATGCAAAGCGAACGCTCTACCACTGAGCCACATCCCCTTGATGTAATGTAGTAATGGTCAACTAAGTCTTAGCCTACTTTTAATTTTGATCTAGTTTATGGTCTGTATACACTGCTGTAAACTTAGGCCTACATCTAGAATCTACATGTTTTCGCCGAGGACAGCTGGATCTACTAGGTTGATATGTCGTGTTAAGAATGCAGCTTAAATTAAGTTTAAATATGGACCATTATAACTGTATAGTTGGTAGGTTTACTCTTTAGAGCTGGGTAGAGTACGCTACCACCTCCAGATTCTAGTCAGTGTTTCTTCCAGACTTTTTTCTCCGAGGGGGGGGGGGGGGCACTTGAAATTTTCGGGGGGGGGGGGGGGGGGGGCGGTAAACTTTCTTCAGTGGGGGGGGCGGACACTGTTAAAAGTATATATTTTCTATATAAATTATATAAATTTCATTTCGTTCGGGGGGGGGGGGGGGGGGTAAAAAAATTCGGGGGGGGGGGGGGCTAAACCTGGAAGAGATGCCTGGAAGAAACTCTGATTCTAGTACGGGCACTGAATGGAAACTTTCAGATCTGGCGCCATGAGCTCTACCCAGTAGCGTACGCAGGGGGGGAGCAGGGGGAGCGGCCGCTCCCCCTCTGGCCATTTTCAACAAAGTGGCGCCTTTTTGGAAACTTTTTAAACTCAAAGTTTTAAACAATGATATTTGTTTAAAAAATATTTTTCGTCGGCACATCTATGTAAATCACAAGATTTCTTTTCAAGCAGCAATTAAGGCATTATTGTACTAGTCTAGTAGTGTCTACGTTTACAACACGTATTAGCAGCTGCATCAGTTTGCCATTCTAAAAATAACCATTACGATGCATTGCAATGTTATATATATATAATACACGTATATAGAACGTGTAAAAAATTCGGCGCCTTTTTTTGCTCTTTTCGTTCCCCCTACACCGAAAACCTGGATACGCCTCTGGCTCTACCACTCGACTATGCCGACATGCATAGGTATAACGACCATACACGAGTTAATTGGCTGTTAATTTGTTTAGGGTAAAGATAAATATTTTTTTTTATATCAGTAACAGCATACTGATAAAAATATATGCAAATATGCGCCCAGAGTTCCCCGCGGCTCTCATACGGGCGCCCTAGATTCCCCTTTGAGTACTATTGCGCCTAAATTCGTTTTAAAGAGCGCCGTACACTAGCGTGTAATGTGTTTTTATAATAACTCACTAAACTGAACCAGGGCTGCGTATGACGCCACGCAGTTGTGGAAAAGGCTTTTATCTTTTAATTTTATGCATTATTACATAATCCCAAGGAATTCGGTGTTATTTAGTACATTTTCGCGAAGGTTTCTGGTATACATATCTTAATATCGGAGAGGCCGCGCATTGTGTTGGGCACTCTGTATTTCGTAGTTGAACAACACGCATATTGAATTCATTTGCTAGTATTAAAATAATAGCCATTTCCATTTAGATTTTTTTTTAATATTCAAGGGACGTAACCTGTTAATATGTACTAAAGGTTGTTATAAAAAAGAAATAATTCAATTTGTAACAAATACAATTTATTTATAGCATTTATATGTAATAAAACACAAATGTTATATTATATATTTATTTTTGTGGATTTTTATATTATATGTATATTGAAGTGATCATATAATAATATTATAACCTAATAAGAAAAACTGTTAGCGAAGTTAAAAGCATATTAGATAGAGATACGATCATATAAAAAACTGTTTAATTGCTCTGATACGTGATAGGAAATGTAAGGAATGTCCTACCTTTTATTACTTTTAGTTTTTCGTTCTCTACATCAACATGACACAACAGCCAAATCCGATAGTTTTCTTTGATATAGCGATTGGAAGCACTGCTGCTGGTAAAATAAAATTTGAATTGTTTTCCGATGTAGTCCCAAAGACAGCAGAGAATTTCAGACAACTGTGTACAGGAGAGTACAGAAAAGATGGAAAGCCACTCGGTTATAAAGGATCCATATTCCTCAGAGTCATTAAAGATTTCATGGTTCAAGGTGGCGATTTTGTAAATGGTGACGGCACAGGTATGACGAGTATATACGCTGGTCGGCCGTTTGCTGATGAAAATTTCAAAAGAAAGCATGAGTGTGCTGGTGTGTTGCCCATGGCTAACAGTGGCAGAGATACAAATGGCTGCCAGTTTTTTATCACCTGTGCAAAGTGTGAGCTCCTGGATGGGAAACATGTTGTCTTTGGTAAGGTAATAGATGGTCATCTTGTGTTGAGGAAAATTGAGAATGTTCCTGTTGGGCCAAACAACAAACCAAAAATTCCTGTGACAATATCAGAATGTGGGGAAATGTAGCACTACATCATCAATTTTTTTTTTATTATAAAAAAATCATCAATCTCACATGTTCACATTAAGTCATGTTTAATTTGTAAAATATATGTTGGTGTACAACTTTAAAAAAAAAAAAAAAAAGTCCTACCTTTTATTTAATTGTAATTAGCCTATCTTCCCTAATGTAATCCCAAAATTTACTTACTTAAAAAAAGTCTTGTTTTTTTTTTAAATTAAAAAAAAAATCTAAAATTTTCTAAATGTGTTCCAACGAGGCTGGTAGTTACAACTGAATGTAACCATGTTTTACATCCTTTATTATTTTCATCAACAGGGGTCTAAATGTTGGAAAACTGCATCCCTCGAATTGTAATTAAATAATTATTTTTTTTGGGTCAAATTATTTATTTTAAAAAGTTTGCATCGTAATAATAAAAAAAAGGTAATTAGCCTATCGAACAAAATAACAAGAGAACACATCCCCAAATCATCGATATCCCGAAACGTTTATTGATTATCAATTTTGAACTGTACATTTTCCAAAACTATTAACAAATCAACATCTGCCGTTGGTTTGTACTCGGGCCTGTTATTGTCTCCAGCTCAGCTTTTGAGAAAGGCTCCTGTTGCTGTAGTTGGATGATGGCAATGTCAAAATCCATTTTTAGTCCAGCTAATTCCATAACAATATCTTTAGAACTCCCCAAGGATGACAATCATGTCATGTATACACCAACTATCATGCAATCCTGCATTACTTCTAGACAAGGGTGGGCTTGCCCGCCGGTCTACCGGGAAAATTCTCGTTGGGCTTCCTAGGGAAAAATCTTGGTGGGTTCACAGAAAAAGAGCTGTGGTGTAATAGGCCTATGTATTAATGTTTTGATTTTAAAAAAAATATGTATTGTTATTTCTCATTTTTTCCATTGCCCTTAAATTCAACCTTGGATGAAGAAAAAATGTACTGAAAATTTTTAATCTAGGGGCATCTTTTAAAAGTTCCCGCGCCTATTGGACACAGCCAGCCCACTCCTGCTTCTTGAAGTCACCGAAGTCCACATCGTCAGACACAAAATAAGGAACCAACAAATAGTATTGATGAACCATAGCAGGGTATACACCTGGTTCTTTACATCCGACGGCTTACCATGGCCAAGTAAACACCTGGTTCTTTACATCAGGCAGCTTACAACGACAAAGTATATCCTGGTTCTTTACATCCGACGGCTTACCATGGCCAAGTAAATACCTGGTTCTTTACATCAGGCAGCTTACCAAGGCAGGGTATACACCTGGTTCTTTACATCAAGCAGCTTACCAAGGCAGGGTATACACCTGGTTCTTTACATCAGACAGCTTACCAAGGCAGGGTATACACCTGGTTCTTTACATCAGGCAGCTTACCAAGGCAGGGTATACACCTGGTTCTTTACATCAAGCAGCTTACCAAGGCAGGGTATACACCTGGTTCTTTACATCAGACAGCTTACCAAGGCAGGGTATACACCTGGTTCTTTACATCAGACAGCTTACCATGGCCAAGTAGACACCTGGTTCTTTACATCAGACAGCTTACCATGGCCAGGTAGATGTTCTTTACATCAGACAGCTTCGATGCCACAACCATGTACAACACGACAAAAACACCAGGCCCTTAATTCCTACACTTCACCAAAAAAGACTGTATCAATGAAACCCTTACGTGTCCCCTCCTACACATAGCAACGAGATATTCATACAAGTAATCAGAACATTGAGCTAAAAAGTCAATACTATCCCTTTCACTATCAATCGCAGGATCACCGTCTACACAGACAACCATCAACCACCCCACTTTACATCAAACTAAACTACAGAGGCAAAACAGTAGACATCATAGCCATTCCAGTAAGAAAACAAGCTTGCCAACACTGCTCCTCCACACAATATTGGAACAACCACTGCGAGCAACCACACGTGAACCCACCTCAACAAACAACTTCGACGACACCATCACCATAAGCCACTGAAAACGAAACAACACCAGAAAAGACAGGGACATCATAATCCTAAAAAACATCGCAGGCACACCAACACTAACAAACACAGCAGACAGCGCTACCTCCCAGACCACACAACCACAGACAGTAAGGGACACAAAAGGAAGTGGAGCGGGGGAGTTGGGGTCAAAAATTATTTTAAAGCAGAGACGTAGCGGGGGGGGGGGGGGGGGGGAGAAGGGTACATATGTCCCCGTGCGCCGATCCTTGGGGGCGCCAAAATAGGTTGGAAAACAAAATTAAAAGCTCATTTTAGCTGCAGTTATTCATTATCTATCTATATATATAATTCTCTTCTGGGAGCCGCTAGAAAACAAGCTGCAAACGCGCCTAGAAAACAAGCTGTAAACGCGCTCCCTACCTCCCCACCCCTACATGGTTTTAGTGAGCTGTGTTCACTCTAAATGTTTACAAGCAGAGCCAACGGTTTTAAACGTAGGGGGGGGGGAGGAAGGGGGGTTATGGTCCTTAACGAGCTACTTATAGTGTTTTAAAGAAATATTTTCAGTGGCAGCATTGGTACTGTCGAATTCACAAATTTTGAATTACTGAAAAGTAGAAAAAACAACAACTAAATAGCGGCGTATGTTATGCCGCGGGCCTGCTCGTATATATATAAAAAAATATATGGGGGGAGGGGCGCCAAATTGAAAGTTTGTCCCCCGGGGGGGGGGGGGGTGAGAGAAGGGTCGCTACGCCTCTGTTTTAAACAGAGTGGGTCGCTTGTGGTTAACACCTTATTGAATAGATTACTTTACTTTTATTTTATGCTTTAAAAAATATCTGTTAAACAATTAATAGAAAAAACATATTTAAAAATAGTAACATTTTATTTCCGTTACACTTTTAAAAATAGGAACATTTATTATTTCTGTTTCAAATTTTAAAGTTATACATTAAAAGCTAAACGTTTATTATATGCTCTTTAACAGAATCTGTATTTTGATATTTACATGTGAATAAAATTAGATTATCTCATTAATTAATGAGCTCATTTAAACTAAAGATCTTTGGCTTTATAGTCCCAGGAGACCACGATGCCCTCAAACGGCGCCAAGGTTACGGGGTCAAGGTTTGTACTCCCGCCCTTCCGGTGACGTTTTTTAGAACCCCACGCGATATTGACGGACGCGCTTCCTGGTACAGTGGAGTGACGACCGGTCAACCTTTTCTTGGATTCCTTGTCTACAAAATTTAGGGCCACCAAATACCTGGAACAGGAAAAAGTTGAAGTTTTAGTGTATTATAGGTTTTCGATGCAACTTTTAACTTAATATTTAAAAAAAAAGAAAAAAAAAAGGAAAATTTTAAAACATTTTTAAAATTACCCTTAATGTAACCTAGTTCTGAAACCCAATTTTTGAATAATATTAAGTATGAATTTTTTAAGAATAAAACATGAAAATCATCGTAATATGTTAAGTGGGTCTTTTGCCACAAAAATAGAATCGTTCAGCTTCTTGCAGATCGAAGGTGCTTATTTTAGTGTCATATCGAGGAATATAGATTGAGCACTACCCTTTCTACCTAATTTGACCCTAAAAGAAACAACTCACTGACTGTTTTTCTACCGGCTTAAACTTTAAATTCAAAGTTTTTTCAGCTTATAGACACATGTCATATCGAAGTAGGAATTCTGACGAGCTTAGATTACGAACATAGAATCGCAGAAAAATTAAGCTAAGCACTTACTCCCCAATATAAACTTTATTTCTTCCAAAAAAATGATTGCATTAAAAGTCACCCGTATTCTACTAAAAGCATGCCCAACAAAAAAAAAATCAACTCACCCTCGCTCTCCATCGAACTCACGCACAAAAGAAAACACTTCGTCATCTTGTAAAACGACAACGAAATCTCCGTATTCAAACGCTGGGTTATCTTTCCTTAGTGTGGTCAGGTTTTTTAGCAGGTGCCATTCAGACTCAGGATCATTCATCTTGGCCTGGGAAAGTAAACTCTTCGTTAGTGGTTAGCTACGAACTTTTATTATAGATAATATTATATGCAATTATAGTATATGATACCGGCAATATAATAATAGATCGTTTTTACAAGAAGGTTAAAGCAATAAACCTGCTAGCCGTGACCAAAAAAAGTAGATATTTTGCTTGAAAATGTCATTAAAAACTAGAAAAATAATTGATGTGACGAAAGAGGAGTTAAACTGATCAAACCTATGACACCGCTTCTATGCTTGACTCAACAGAATTGTGACACAACTGAAACAAGATGTTATACAGTCTGAGACTGGCCGGTATTAAAGAATCAACTGTTTAAGTGCCAGAAACTTTTTAACTCGAAAGTCTCGAGTTTTTATGGTGTAGCTGAATCCAAACAGTTCGGATATATAGCTATATATGTGCATGTCATTAATTACTGGGAAGTAGTAACCGCTACTAATAGATCACTGGACTGTTTACAAACTAAATGCATGCAAATGATACACGAAACCTCTGGCACAATACCATCTCCAATGATACATTACTAAGAGAGAAGGAAATGGAAGCCGTTTCCGATATTTATTGAAAAAAAAAAGATGGCGCTGAAAGGGGCACGTTTAAAGAATGAGTCAAGAGGATATCACAAGAAGGGCGCTTCAAGGAAAAAGGGAACAGAAAAGGCGTCTTCCTCGAGACACACATCAGAAAAAACAGCTGACAAGAGCCGTACGATCTTGGGTAATTAGCGCACACACACACACAAAAATACCAGAGACCGGCATTTGTGGAAAGAGCTTTTTTTGGCGGTCACGTGTGCTTTGGGCACAACAAGGGAAAGATTATGATGAAAGCCGAGGCCGAAGAAGCAGATTGCTTTCCTCTCATGTGCGGCGCGCTATGTATAGCCTGAGTGTATGATTCGCTCACCACACATGTAAGATAATCAGGATATTATACAACAAGAGAGTACAGCTATACTCAGGATACGATACAAGAGTACAGCTATACTCAGGATAATATACAACAAGAGAGTACAGCTATACACATGATACGATACAAGAGTACAGCTATACTCAGGATAATATACAACAAGAGAGTACAGCTATACACAGGATACGATACAAGAGTACAGCTATACTCAGGATACGATACAAGAGTACAGCTATACTCAGGATACGATACAAGAGTACAGCTATACTCAGGATAATATACAACAAGAGAGTACAGCTATACACATGATACGATACAAGAGTACAGCTATACTCAGGATAATATACAACAAGAGAGTACAGCTATACACAGGATACGATACAAGAGTACAGCTATACTCAGGATACGATACAAGAGTACAGCTATACTCAGGATACGATACAAGAGTACAGCTATACTCAGGATAATATACAACAAGAGAGTACAGCTATACACATGATACGATACAAGAGTACAGCTATACTCAGGATAATATACAACAAGAGAGTACAGCTATACACAGGATACGATACAAGAGTACAGCTATACTCAGGATACGATACAAGAGTACAGCTATACTCAGGATACGATACAAGAGTACAGCTATACTCAGGATAATATACAACAAGAGAGTACAGCTATACACAGGATACGATACAAGAGTACAGCTATACACATGATACGATACAAGAGTACAGCTATACTCAGGATAATATACAACAAGAGAGTACAGCTATACACAGGATACGATACAAGAGTACAGCTATACACATGATACGATACAAGAGTACAGCTATACTCAGGATACGATACAACAAGAAAGTACAGCTAGAGTTACCTCCACATTCATGTCCGTCTTGTAGCCTGGATGGATCTCCATCCACGGTTTGGCCAGACATTCAGGACAGAAGCCAGCGTTTGTCTTGTTGTTCCACTGCATAGGGCCACGCATTGGCTTGGCTTGTGACCGTGGACTAGAGGCGGAAGTACTGTTCAGTACCACTTCCTGTAAGCCTAAATATAGAACAGTTGTGTCTTGTTATTATAAAAAAAACTGTTTAAATTCAGCTGGTGTATTAAAAAGGTCTAAGTAGAATTTGTTCGATTTAGCCGAATTTAGATGTCTTGTTTCTAAATTTTTCTGAGGTTTGGTTTGGCATACACGGATCGTACCATATCAAATCATTTTATTTCTCCACTGGTTTCGAAAACTGGCCCACTCATATCTAAATCCATCCTTCTTAACAAACGGATAAGCTTGTAGTAAAACGTTGGCTATTGGGACAGGCTTTGTCGACATTTATTGCTTGCTTTGTGCTTTTTATTATGTTACTGTTGTAATTTTTTTTTTTCAAATTATAAAGCACAAGCACTTGCTTTCAGAATTTCCTGCATGCATCTCATCCACCCCTCCAACAAAGTATATACTTTTAATTTAGACCCCCCCCCCCACCCCGCCCCGAAATATGCAAGTGCCGTCCCTTCCCCCCTCCCCTCCCCGTCTCCCCCACTGAGAAAAAAGTCTGAAAAAACAATGCTTGCTTTTTACTTCATGTTTCTTGTACACGTGCATTACTGTCTTAAACATACATTAAAATGTGATTTAAAAATTGAGTATTTCTCACACCCGTGTTATCTGTCACTAGACCCGTGGATTTTTTTTCCAGGATTTTTCTTCTTCCCCTTTACGTACTCGAGTTTGGCTCATTTCGTATTGGTTAGCAGGTGCCCGTTCTACCGCTAGACCTCGCCTTCCACGTTTACCTCACTCACCTATTTCATCCCCGTAGTACAGGTAAGGTGTCCCAGGTAACAGCAGTGAGAGCATCAGGTAGGTGCCAGACATCTCTTCCCCTAAGCGGTCAGCCAACCGCTTACTTCTGTCATCGCCTCCCTACAGGGAGTGAATGCTAATTAATCATTAGATACTAGTGATCAATAATTTAGATTGTAAAGTTAGTTCCACTAATTACTTCAACATAGTGCAGCAGTATATATGTATATATATATATATATATATATATATATATATATATATATATATATATATATATATATATATATATATATATATTGTATGTAAACTTAAAGCGTGTAAATGAATGTCTAACCATCCAGTTGGCCCATCTGTGTTTAGGCATGTGTTTCATCCAATCAGACACCATCTGGCCGACCCCTTGACCACCGGAAGTCTCGTTCAGTTCGAGGCTGAATTTGTTGAGAGGGAAGTCCACCCCATCTCTGTTAAATCTACCGTAGTAGTTCATCACATGCTGGTAGGGCCCGTCCACGTCAGCGAAGAGAATTCTAAAACACAGACGGTCTGATATACACGTTTTTATAACCTTTTCGTTATGAAAACTATAAGGGTCGTTTCTAAACTTTGGCCTATAAATTATTGTGAAGTTCCCAAGCTTGGTTATGAAAGGAATTTAAAACAATTATAATATACAATGTATATTAGAATGTTCAGTATATAATTAAGGACTGCTGTTAATTACTTGTAATGGCCTGTTTTGTTTCCATAATCGTCCAGGAAATATCTCCAGCGCGCAAGGATGTCGAAAATTTCGGGTAGGCCTTTGGTGTATTTGTGGTTATAGGACTCGTAGGTGGGGAGGGATTTGTCAGGTGAGCAGTTCTGTTAGAATATTTCTATTAACGTACTTATATATATATATATATATATATATATATATATATATATATATATATATATATATATATATATATATATATATATAGTCTATATAAATAAGTAGACATAAATTGTAGTGTTAACCTGAGAAAAACAATTTTCATCTAATAAACTGTTGCCTGGACACAATACCTCTAACAGATAAACAAGAATATTAAACATTAACAATTTGAGACTCACTGTGATGGAAGAGTTGTGTATAAGGATGTCATCCCTGAGATCGTAGTCCTCAAACAGGTAGTCTGTGTCTCGTATGTAGAAACCGTCAACTCCGAGTTCAAGCCTAGGAGAAACACAGTGAACAGTCGAATTAAACTCACTGTTTCTTTCAGACTTTTTTTCCGGAGGGGGGTGGGGGTGACTATTTTCCGGGGGGGGGGGGGGGGAGGGTAGACTTTCTTCGGGTAAGGGGGAGGCTTGCTGAAATGTGTCCAGTAATACATATTAATAAATTCCAGAATGTAGCTTATTGCCTTTTTAAAAAATAATTAGTCTGTAATCTACATAATTATTATAACATTAGTGTAGTACCGGGTCAAAAGAAGTGTAGGATAACCTCAATGGCAAACATCAAAACAACTGAACGTTGTTTTCAATTTTTATAGTTTATTTTATCATAGTCTTTAGAAAGGACTTTTACGATTGGAGGATTAAACAGGTACTGCTAAACCAAAAATTTTAATTTCAGTTACCGCAGCACAAGAAGTACCTGGCCTTATTTGGGAAATAAATTATTGAGAATTTTACTTGCCATACCATTCATGTTAATGCGTTAACATTGCGACTTAAACATAATTTTTGTTTTAGTTTTGTAATGGCATTTTAAAAGTCAGCAGCTGTAGGAAAATAAACGAATAATAAAAACACTTTCTTAGCATATCCGCTCACCAGAACTGAAGAATGTTCTCTAGCTCCTCCTTGACCTTCTCGCTACGGAGATTCAGTTCCGGTTCAGATGCCTCAAACTGGTGCAAGTAAAAGGAGTTATCTTCCCTTATTTTCCAGGCCGAGCATTGGTACACTGAAGTCTGGTAAATAGACAAGATGCATCAGTCAACGCCGAAACTATTATGACTTAAATTGTGTCAATAAAAAGGTCATCTACGGATGAGGTCACGCTACTTCCAGTTTAAGGGGGCGGTATCACTCAGCCATAGATAACCACGCAATGAATCTCTTTGCTCATTGTCAGCTCGAAAGGCCTAAATGTTGAAAAACTGAAGCCCTCGATTTCTAATTTTAAAAATTGGTTCAAATTATTTATACTTTTTTCTGCATCATACATTTACCTTCCTTTATATGCTGTTTTATATCTCCTCCACTATAACTACTATGGTAAAACATTTATGAGTGCATGTATTATAGTCTTTTCTGGCACATGTATTCGTCATTTTTCAATTGTCTGGGTGACACTGCCCCTTTAAGCCCTTCCCCCATTTTTCATATAATCCCATGTTGTTATTAGAAGCAGATATGCTAAAGGGACATAACCATCACAACTGTCTTGCACCTACCCAGTTGTTGGGTGCCATAACCCTGTTCTGCCCCAGACCCTCACTCCAGATGTAGTAGGACCTGTACGGGTTTTCATGCAGAAAGTTGCTGCTGGCACTCTGCTGGAACCAGGTGTGGTTTTGTGAGGTGTGGTTGGGGATGAAGTCTAGGGTGATGTGCATGCCTGTGGGGTGGGACACAAACGTAAAGGGTACGACAGTCTAAGGCAGGCAAACTAGACCGAACACAAACGTAAAGGGTACGACAGTCTAAGGCAGGCAGACAAATTAGACCGAACACAAACGTATAGGGTACGACAGTCTAAGGGAGGCAGACAAACTAGACGGAACACAAACGTAAAGGGTACGACAGTCTAAGGGAGGCAGACAAACTAGACGGAACACAAACGTAAAGGGTACGACAGTCTAAGGGAGGCAGACAAACTAGACTGAACACAAACACAAAATAATTATACGGAGACATATTTTTGTAAATGTAATAAAACATACTAGACAAAGAAAAATAGTAAAGTATTGAAGAAAAGAAAGGAAAAAAAAACAAAGCTAATGTTCACAAAAAAAAAACCAACAAAAAAAAACACGAAATCATACTAGTTCCCAGACATAAACAAATGAAGATCATGAGAGATGCTATGACAACAGTACACATAATATACATGATCACGTGACACACAAAGCTAATGTGATAAGGCGAACACTATAAACGTAAACACACATAGAGTATTTGTGCTTACATCAAATACACATAGAGTATTTGTGCTTACATCAAATACACATAGAGTATTTGTGCTTACATCAAACACACATAGAGTATTTGTACTTACATCAAATACACATAGAGTATTTGTGCTTACACCAAACACACACACACAGAAAAATCAAGCACATAACACACACACACACACAGGAAATGTGTTCACGTGACCCACACAGTAGACGTGATCGCGTGACACACAGTTATAGTTATCACGTGACACGTGAGCACTGACCGCGTGAGTGCGTCTCATTGACCAGCAGCTTGAACTCCTCCAGCGTGCCGAACATGGGATCAACGTTCGTGTGGTTGATCACCTGCGTGTCGGAGGTGGCGTCTGGGGCCAGCTCAAAGATGGGGCTCAGGGCGATGGTCCCCACCCCCAGGCTGCTCAGGTAGTCCAGTTGTTGGCGAATACCTGGCGATAGGCGAGGGTAGAGGTGAGTCAGGTCTCGAGATCTGGGTCTGTGTAAAGCAGGTGAAGTAGAGTAATGGTGATTGGTTGTGATCATTCAGCCCAGCATATTTATTGTGACAGTGGTTAAGCAGTAATGAATAAATGGTAGTTATATTAGTTATAACATCTTAATTGTGATATTGTTGGGTTTAACAGGTTAACAATGACAAATTACAAATTGTAAAGTCAATTTTTCATGGATGGGGGTTTGACAGATTAACAAAGATAAATGTATTTCTAATTGTGAAGTCTATGTCACAAGGATGGGATTTTCAGTGTGATGAACGAAACATTGAAAATACAGCAGATGCGTAGCGACGGAGGGTGGGTGGGTACATATGTCCCCGGGCGCCGACCCTAGGGGCGCCAAATTTGGTTGGAAAAAAATAATTAAAAGCTCAATTTAGATGCAGTTTTGAATTATAAATATAAAACATATATGGGGGTGGGAGCGCCAAATCGAAAGTTTGTCCCCGGGCGCCGGGAGGGGTCGCTACGCCTCTGAATGTCGGTTAGTACAATAATGTGGTTGGGGGTTAAAAAATCTGTGTTGAATGTTAATGCTGGTAAGAAATTCATGACAATGTCTGTTTAACGGTGATGGTGTTTCGATATACGGTCAGGGTGACATTTGTCTCGGCTTAACATTGATGACAGTTTCACCGTCACGTCGTTTTCACCCTTTCTCTAGGCGAAGAAAATCGGTTGAAGAGGTTTGAAGTCACAACCACATGTCGAAGCTTATATGTAAGTAAAGTTCCCTTTCAAACCTGACTGCCTACAGGGCAAGTGAAGTAGAGTTCACTTGTTTCTGTTACCTCGGCATATGAATAGATAGTGTAGTAAGCACTATGCCCAGCGATGTAGATTATACTTTATACAATTTCGTTCACTTATTAAACACCAACCGTGATTTTTGCTTGTTCAACGAAACAAAAAACTTGAATAAATTGCCCTCTACACATAAACTCTATGAATAAAAGTCTTTACTATAAAAAAGATTCTTTTACCTAGAAGAAAATTTCTTTACCATAGATAAAAAGTCTATGCCAAAAAGAAAATATCCTTGCCTGGAAAAAAGTGTCTTTACCGGTAAAAAAAATTGCGCGAAATCTAAGTTTACCTTCAAAAGAAAACAAAAGAAAAACAAACGAACAAGAGTTTCCAGAACAAAATATCATGTCAAAATCTTGCCAAAAAACAAAACAACAGATGGTGTATGTACTTAAATCAGCGCCTTTAAGAACCGGAAATGTATCTCAATTTGTATTTAACATAATACTGCATTACCCGCAACATATTCAGCAAACATCTAGTTTTTGTACATTTGTTCAATATTTTTAAAAATTCACGATGGTTGTAGTTATCTTATTATTTTATGTTTGCTGCAGATTATCCAAGTTTTAATATTTTAAAATTAAGTTATGAGCTGTATTAGCGGTAGAACGCTAGACCGCTAACCCAAACATCTCGAGTTCGAATCCGGGTTCATGTCAGTAAAACTCCACTGAGTCCACCCAGCTTTAATGGGTACCTGACTAAAGTTAGGGCAAGTAAAGGTGGCTAGGCGTAGTGCTGACTATACGCAGTCAGGTTCAAGAAGGGAACTTTTCTTATGAGCTGTTCATTAACCATCGTAGCTGCAAAAGAAGGGGCCGTTACCCTTAATGTCTCCGTTGCCGTCTGCCTTGGCCTCCGAGTCCTGGAAACTTCTGACGTATATCCGGTAGACGACTGTCGTCTGCCACCACTCGCGCTCCGGCACGTTACGACACTTTGGGTAGATCAGAACGAGGGCAACCACAGTTATCAGAAGGGCAAGCCAACCTTGTAGAGGAAAAAAAAGTTTGTCGCTTAGTTAAGATTTTAAGTGAATTTTCAAATGATTTTAGCATATAAATTATAGGCCTAATATAAAAATAAACTTGATATATAAAAATGTAAATAAACGTGGTATTATAAGTCAGGGTTGGGAAAGGTATGGCCGAGAGATAGAGCGATAGAGTTCGGTTCCCGGGCTTGAGTCGGCAGGGTGTCCCCGAGGGAAACAAATACGGCTGGGCATAGTGCTGACAACACCACCCACCTCATCTGACCGATGTGTTTTGTCACGAATAGGATGATGATGATGATGATGATGATGATGATGATGGTGATGGTGATGGTGATGGTGATGGTGATGGTGATGGTGATGGTGGTGGTGATGGTGATGGTGATGCCGCTGATGATGATGATAATGATGATGATGGTTATTATGATGGTGATGATGATGATTATTATGATGGTGATGATGGTTATTATGATGGTGATGATGATGATTATTATGATGGTGATGATGATGATGGTGATGATGCTGCTGCTGATGATGATGGTGATGTTGATAGTGCTGATGAAGGTGATGACGATGATGATAATGATTTTGATGATCAGGTTGACTATGTTAAGGAGTAGGTGTTCAACACTAATACTTACAAATACAGTCATAACTGCTTATAAATGGGAACTATCTAAAGCCAGTATTTACAAGAGTATTGTTATAACCTTAAGTTTTTTAGAGAGTTCAAATTCTATTGTGCAAACTTCTATCGGACTTTAAGCAAACAATGACACAATAAATCTAAACATTTCAGCCGAAGATAACAGCATCATTTACGTCACTTGTCATAAAAGTTAAATGTTTATCTTTACACCCCCCCCCCCCACACACACACACTACCTCATACACACAGTAAAACACACAACGAAAACGAGGTTACCTGTCAAGACAATAGAAATACAGATGTACCGGAGATTTCTCCACAGGGGTCGCGATGAATACCTCAACAATTCTTCTTTGCCCATGCCCCTGGTTGTAAAAACATGTACAGAGTTATAGCGAGTAAAAAAAAAGTTTGGATTCAGTTAGTTTCGCAGAGGCGTAGCGAGGAGTGCGGGGGGTGCGGACCGCACCGGGTGACACCATTTAGGGGGGTGACACACAAAAACAATAGCAAAATATATAAAGAAAAACTTGAGGGGGGGAGGGGTGCAAATCGAAAGTTTGAAAGTTTGTCCCCAGGAAGGGTCGCTACGCCTCTGGGGGGGGGGGGTGGGTGACACCATTTAGTGCCGCACCGGGTGACACTGACCTCGCTACGCCACTGAGTTTTCGTTCGTTATTCTTTAAAAGAAATACAAACATAATTTCACAAGTTAAATATTGTGGGTTTTTTTTAGCCACTCTCCTTTCCAATAAAATAATTCCAAAACGGAAACAAATGTCTACTTTTCAATTCCATTGCCCTTTCAGTCCAAGATAAAGGTATAATTCCTTCATGAGACAATTTTGCCATAGTTTAATTTTGACTCTTCCCTACTTGAAAATCTGATTTAGATATTTAGATATTTAAATTATTATTTTTTTCAATCTAGCAATCTATACTTTAAAATTTACATTATACATCGTTTAAAAATAAGTTTAATTGAAATTATATTTTAATATTGTTTTCCCATTTATTATCAGTTATATTTTAAAACAAATGTCTACTATGTTTATGTAACTTTTTATATAACCAACAATATTTTAAAGTGTGAATATGCTATTTCTTTGGTGACGCTATGAAGTAGCCATGTTAATGTTTTTTAAGCTTATGTTATTATTACATTTGAAATTTGTTATAATTTAACATTAGATAAACTCGCCTGTATGGCCCATAAGATTATATTTGACATTTGTTGTGATTCAACCAGAGGCGTAGCGACCCCTGCCAGCGCCCCGGGACAAACTTTCAATTTGGCGCCCTCCCCCCCCCCCCCAATATTTCTTTTATATTTATAATTCAAAACTGTAGCTAAAATGAGCTTTTAATTGTTTTTTTTACAACCCATTTTGGTACCCATAGGATCGGCGCCCGGGGACATATGTACCCCCCCCCCCATCTGGATTCAACATTGGCTAAAAACACGCCTATATGGCCCATCAGATTATAATTTTCAGTTATAATTTAACATTATCTGAACTCGCCTGTATGGGCCATCGGATTATAATTGTCAATTGTTATAATTTAACATTATCTGAACTCGCCTGTATGGGCCATCGGATTATAATTGTCAATTGTTATAATTTAACATTATCTAACTCGCATATATGGGCCATCAGATTATTATTGACATTTGTTATAATTTAACATTATCTAAACTCGCCTGTATGGCCCATCAGAGATGGACTTGAGCCTCTCTTTACTCGGCACCCTCTTGCTCAAGCTGAACTCCACGGAGCCCGAGTCCCGCTTGGGTGGGGGTATCTCAGTGTAAGCATTCTCCGCCGGCTCGCTTTTCTCAGTGGTCTCCGCCTTAGTGGTGTTGTCGCTCTCTCGGCTGTGGTTGCTGGCGTTTCCCAGGCTGTTGCGTTTCTCGTCTTGTATGCTGAAAGCTGGGTTGGTGTAGATGTTCTCAGTGGTCAGGGGTTTGGCGGAGATGGCTACTATGCCGTTGGGTTCCATGGTATAGGCTTTTGCGTCCACCTTGAAAAAACGGAAAGTTTTTCTTTAATATTAAATCAGTAAAAAATGCTACCATAGATTTAAAAAAAAAAGATTTGTTAAATGTGTTGTAGTGGTGATGAGATCTAGTATGGCTGTAGCAGATTAAGGACTAAACGGCCGAAGGCCAGCACATTTTAACGATTAACCGCTCTTCAGCTATGGGTAAGCAAATGTTAAAGGCTAGAACAATTTTTTTTAACAGTTTTAAAAAGCTAGTAATTAATATGTGTGCTTTCTTAACCATGGTAACCTAAGATAATTTTTCATAGATGGGTCCCGAATAATATTTAGCTAACACCGCGGATAATTTGTGGGAAATTGACGCCGATAAAATGAAAGCAAGGATCCAAGATAATATGAAGCTGTTACCGGATAATTTTTAGCCAAGGTTCGCGGATATGTGGCAGGCAAGGGCCCTGGATAGAATGTAGGTAGGTTTCACACATAAAGTGTAGACAATATCCCAGGATAAAGTGTTGGCAAGGTTGTGGATAATGTGTAGGCAAGATTCCCGGATAAAGTGTAGGCAATGTTCCCGTATAATATGTAGGCAATGTTCCGGATAAAGTGTAGGCAAAGATTTTGTTTGAGCGGACACTGGTTTAAGCATATATTTTCTGTATAAAATGTTTGTTTCTATTTCGTTCGCGGGGGAGGGGGGGGGGGGCTGTGTCCAAATACACGCCTCAAAGAAAATATGCACCAGATCAACAGTTTGATTTGAGAACACATTATAATATAAACAGAAATCGACTATTCTGCTTGCTGTGCGAATACGTAATTCGATCCAGAAATTTGAGACATAAATTTACATTCTAAAGATTTTTTTAAAGAAATTTCTTTTCAACACAGTGAATTCGTGTAATCATAAACTTTTGTAAACAAGTGCTCTCTAATATTCAAGTGTTTATAAACACACTGTCGCTTAGAAATAAATATATTAATCTAACAGTATCCCTTATATGTGAAGTATATATTACGTTAGGTCGTAAAACTCCTAAAAACAACAATAAATGTATACAATAAATCTCGCATTACTGACAAGGTATAATTATAATTAAATCTTGCAGTATCAAGATGTCTTAAAAGCTATTACATCGTATCAAATATTTAAATCTTCCTAAACTAATATCACTAAATTTTGCAATACTATGCATTTTTAAACTCAATCAGGTTTGATATTCTCTTTACACATTGCCTGTGTTCGTACACTTGCTACACAGGTAAATAAGTGTGTTTATTCACAAGCGATACATGTGAATAAGTGTGTATAAACAATCTACTCAGGTAAATAGGTGTGTATGAAAAAGATACTCAGGTAAATAGGTGTGTATAACCAAGCTACACAGGTAAAGATGTGTATTTAGTCTACTCACCTGTAGAATGCCTCTGTGACCGAAGACACCTGCAATGGTTGTAAGTTCCGTCTAGATATACCTTGACACAAGACAACTGCTTAAATGAGGTCGAAATTAGGTCAAAGTTTAACAACGGGAATATCTAGTCCACATTTTTTTTTTCTGTCCACAGAGCTGTCTCTAGATCAGCGGTTCACAGAAGTCTGTGATGGTACCCTAAGATCAGCGGTTCACAGAACACTGTGATGGTACCCTAAGATCAGCGGTTCACAGAACACTGTGATGGTACCCTTAGATCAGTAGTTCACAGAACGACATAATGGTACCCTAAGATCAGTGGTTCACAGAAGTCTGTGATGGTACCCTTAGATCAGTGGTTCACAGAACGACATAATGGTACCCTAAGATCAGTGGTTCACAGAAGTCTGTGATGGTACCCTTAGATCAGTGGTTCACAGAACGACATAATGGTACCCTAAGATCAGTGGTTCACAGAAGTCTGTGATGGTACCCTTAGATCAGTGGTTCCCAGATCTCTGTGACGATACCCTAAGGTCAATGAAGTCCAGAACACTTCGATGGTACCCTTAGACCTATGGTTCCAAGAACGACACGATGGTACCCTAAGATCAGTGGTTCACAGAACTTTGTGATGGTACCCTAAGATCAGTGGTTTACAGAACGACACGATGATAGACCTAAGACCAGTTTCACATGGGGCAAAAGTACCATAGACAGTGTGATGTACTTGTTGCCTAGATCATTGGTTCCACCATAGCGTACTTGTAGTCCTAGAAAACAGAAAGGCCGCGGTCGACCAATAGTTAAACAAATTCCTAACTCGGGGTTTAAAGATAACAATGAGTCAAATTTGGCTACTATCTATTTTTTGTAGTTTAAGATATCATTTTCAGATAATTTATAAAAATACAAACATTTAAAAAAGAAACAAAATTAACAGTGTTGCTACATAATTGTATACATTAAACTAATATACGAAAATAAAATAACTACAGATAACGACCCCTACTAAGTTAGAAAAAAAAACTTCTGGGGTAATATTTAATGGTGATCGATATTAATGAACAAACATGAGTTGTTGCAGTTGAACTTGTCTTACAGGACTTAAAAAGCAATTCTATCGAAATATGTAATCTATTTTTGTCTCGCCACATAAAAATGTATTTAGCAATAGAATGAGACATTGGTAGAAAGTGATGAAAGATGAAGCTCACTTTGAGAACAGTGTTTCTTCCAGGCATCTGGAAAGTCTGTCGCCCCCCCTCCCCCCCCCCCCGAACGAAATGGAATTTATATAGAAAATATATGTTTGACAGTGTCGCCCCCCCCCCCGGAAATTGTTGTCCGCCTCCCCCTCCCCCCCCCCCGAAATTATCAAGTGTACCCCCGGAGAAAAAAGTCTGGAAGAAACACTGATTGAGAACCCCTCCCCATGTACAGCACTGACATAAATTATTGCTGTTAACCTTCTCATTACTTGTCTGTTTTTAAAATGCAATTAATCAATTTAAATAAATATATTTAGATATTTTGGTCCAGCCACATAAAGATGTATTAAAAGATTTCATAAAACATTTTTAAAAAGTGAGGGACGATGACGCATACTTTGAGAACCCCTCTCCGTGTAGAGCACTGATATGTATTATTGCAGTTAAACTTGTCTTACTGTTTTTAATATGCAAATGTATCGATATAAGTGGTCAATTTAAGAAACACATTTAGATATTTTTGTCTGGCCACATAAAGATGTATTTAACAGTTTCATAACACATGTTTTAAATGTCAGGGACAATGTAGCTGACTTTGAGAATCCCTCTCCGTGTATAGCACTGACGCACACACTGACATGTTATTGTTGTATGAAGCAGGTACGACTTACGCGACACGCCGAACTGATGTTTGTTTTACATAGGCGGCCCCTTGTGTTGGCGGTGTCACGTCTCAACTGTATCTCTCATTTACCTACATCCTATTTCTATTTGCCTCGGGTCGCTTTCTGATTTTGTCTAGGTCGTCTCCCCTAGTGTTCGTTTCTCTCCCCTTCCATTCGTTTTTTCGCTGGTGATCTCCCCTTTTCTAAAATTTCTCGCTGGTTACATTTTTCTTTAGTTTCTCTTGGTATCTCTACCTCTTCTTATTTTGTCGTTGATGCACTCCTCCACCGCCCCCCTCCCTCCCCTTCCGCATAAATTTCTTACTTTTTCATTATTTCTCTTTGAAGGGAATTTATATATATATATATATATATATATATATATATATATATATATATATATATATATATATATATATATATATATATATATATATATATATATATATATATCACTTTATATTGAACAACTGAATATATCTATAAATTCCTTTCCCCTATCCAGGACAATATTCTGGCACTTTCTTGGGTTGGTTCAGGCGTTAGGGGGAACCCAGCCACTCCCAGAGTTTCTTCCAGGCATCTATTCGGGGGGAGGGGGGGGGGGGGGGGGCGAGGAAAGTCTGCCACCCCCCTCCCCAGAACGAAATGAAATTTATATAGAAAATATATACTTTTAACAGTGTCCGCCCCCCCCCCCCCCGAAGAAAATCTACCGCCCCCCCCCCCCCGAAAAAAAATTTCAAGTGCCTCCCGGAGAAAAAAGTCTGGAAGAAACACTTGCCACTCCGTCACAGTGCGCCGCCATTGCTAATGTAATCTCACAGTAGGTGCTTGTGTTGAGGGCGAAATGTGTAGAGCCATAAGGAATGGATGAGGTGTGTTAAATTAATATGCTGGACATGTACTGAGCTGGTTTGGGAACCTGTGTGATGGACACACTCATTGACACACTCATGGGCACACTCATGGACACACTGGAACACACTAATATACATACTATAAAACACAATCAACGACTCATGTGAACAAACTAATAAAGTATATAAAAAAAGATTTTCTATAGACCTAGTGAACCATTCGCAGATGAAGTAGAGTTATTATGTTTCTTGACCTCTGCATATGAAAGGATAATGTGGTCAGCACCGTGCCTTTACCTTCCCTGAGTTAGCTACGCATGAGAGTTGTATGGACTCAGGATTCGAACTCGAGCAGTATAGCGCTCTACATCTAGGCCAGGCCGTCCCTTGGAACACACTTTATGCACACTGTTAGATACACTCACTGACATACGGACATAATTACGGACACACACACATAAACATACGGATACACAGACGCATGGAAAACCTTTAAAGACACTCGTAGACAATTAGCAGACACACCAAGCTGACACTAATTGACACACTGACACACTCATGAACACACTCGTGAACACACTCATGGACACACTCATGAACACACTCATGGACACACTCATGAACACACTCATGAACACACTCATGAACACACTCATGGACACACTCATAACACACTTATTAACACACTCATTAACACACTCATGAATACACTCATCTCATTTAGTGACTGATTGCGTGTATTTCCAATTCGATTACTATATCAACTTAAAACCAATTATCAGTTTCAAAATAACAAATTTAAAAATAACCCTATAGCCCTATTAGCATTCAAAATTACCGACCCCCAAAAAATATAAATCCATAATTTTACAAGATAACAGTCTCGACATTTGAATATATGGGATGTTGTCGTTAATGGGTGTTCAAATACCAAGGGGAGGTAAATCTGTAATTCTGAGGGTTTATTGAAGCTGTAAAACACAAGTAAGCTCAAGAGCCTGTTGTAAATGTACCCGGTGGGTGGGGCTGGGATCATGTATCGGCTATTGTGGTTTCATTCTTATGTTATATGTTAAATGTTTTGATTAGAGACATACACAGTGTAGGGAGTGTGTGTATGTGTGTTGTTTATTTTTTGTTTGGTTTAGAGCCTTGCCCACGAGGTAATGGTGGTACGTGTGTGAAATGTGTGTGATAAGTTTGTATGTGTGTGTGTGTTATATTTTAAGTTTGCTCTAGAGTCTTACCATTTAGGTGTGGGGGGGGGGGGGGTATGTGTGTGGGAAGTGTGTGTATGTGTTGTTTATTTTTAGTTTGATTGTACGTAATCTGTGTGAGAAATGTGTGTCTGTGTGTGTTGTGTGTGTTGTGTATTTTAAGTTTTATCTAGACCATGCCCATTTAGGGGGTGGGGATATGTTTGTGAAGTCTAAGTATAGGTGTGGGGGAATGTGTGGAAGACGTTTGTGCATTTGTGAGTTATATATTTTTATATATTTAAAAAAGAGAAAGTTAATGATTTTCTATAATATATATTAATTACTCTACTATTTAATTAACTATAAAGAAAAACTTGTGTCGCTTCCTAAATATTAGTAAAATATCCAATAAATATTACAGCGACCCGCGCTTTTCGTTATAGTTATTTAAATAGTAGATTTATTTTTAACACGTTTTTCTTAACTCAGCTTCGCGTTTTTAAAACGTTTTTTTCTTAACTCAGCTTCGCGTTTGTTTGGTTGTTTGGATGTTTGTTGTTAAAATTGACATCGAAAATTAGCCCACTTCTGATTGCTCTAGAGACCTGAAATTTGGCATGCATGCTACTTTCGCCTAACAATTTCAGATGCAATCATAAAAACTAGCAATTAGTGACCGTAATTAGCTTAATTTAATTACGCCCCAAGGACCATAAAATTGAGGACATGATTTCTAAAGATACCGACAAGACTGGAGGCCTATCGACACAGTTACTTCGGCCCCAATCGATGTGAGCGCGCTGGCCGTGATCGTATAGTGGTTAGTACTTCGCGTTGTGGCCGCGACAACCCAGGTTCAAATCCTGGTCGCTCAAGATTTTTAGTCCGTGTATTTATAAACACTTTTTTAAAAACCACGTTTTTCATGTGTAGCAACGGACTAAAAAGGAGAAAATGAAATACTTAAAAAAAACTTTTTAAAAAACCACGTTTTTTATGTGTAGCAACGGACTAATAATAATCATTAAAAAAGTTTTAAAAAACCCACGTTTTCTGATTGAACTAAAAAGTAGAAAATAAATACTATACATACAATAATGCAAGCGATCACTCTACTATAAGCTATCAAAAACGTGGGGCGCCGTGATTTTCTTACAGTTTCTAATACTGTTGACTCTC